CCAAACTTATGGTTGAAAAAATCTTCAGGTTAATCTGTAAAAAGTGATCAACTTGCCCCTGTTGTACGGTATTTTGGAGTTTTCCTTAGAATTCACTTTTAGTTCTCCTTAAAAATACCTTAAAAAGTCACCTCAAATTTACTTGGCAGTTTTAGTCAGAACTATCTTTAAAATCTCTATAGAATTGCCTTGGAATACCTCACAGAATTTCTGGGCCAGTTCCACGCCAATTGGCAAAATATATTTTTTTAAATGTCTCGATCTTCCCCCTTTTTTTCTTTCTTTGATTTGTTTTCTGTCGATCTTGTTTTCCGTACCGAGTGCCAATGATACCGACTCCAGGGAGGCAGCTCCCACTCCTGGAGCCTACCCTACCTACGGCTTTGCACAGAAAATCCCGACGACGCTGACTGGGGTTGAACCCAGGTCATTTGGCTCGAGTTTCTCCGATTTTCATAAAACTTTGCATAATTCTAGATAGTGCTGGAATTAGGGCAATGACTTCTATCGATGATTTCTAGGAATTCAAGGCACGCTCACGCAAACCAACATAACCGTCGGTAAGAGAAGTCTTCCCCTACCTGTTGGTGTTCTTGATTTACGTTGGCAAGCCTTAACCTTCGTTAAATAATAAAAAAAAATCATTGTTTGTAAAACCTGTTTCGCCCTTATTCCAGCTATATCTAAAATTGCTTGTTATGGGCACCCGAGCAAAGTTGGAGATCAAATTGAAATCAAAATTTGCTGTTATGATGTAACTTTTTTTGAATACTCCAGTTGATCTCATTTTGGTTGACTTAACGGTTAACACAGCAAAAATGAGAGCAAAATTTTACACTGTTGAATCAAACGGAAAACTAATCTTGCTTTCAATGAAATCAATTTGATTACTGATTTTGCATTCATAATGTTTAACTAAATACGGGCGTGGCGTAAATGGTTAGTATCCATGCTTCTCACGCTGAAAGAGTTGAGCTCAAATCTACCCCGACCAAGTCATGAATGACCTAATATGTGTTAAATAAAACAAATAAACAATAATCGTTAGTTCAACGACAGATAAACTTTTAAACAAGATGTTAACAGCAAAACTTCACGTTAAGTTGCTTTCATTTAAAAAGTTTTGACTGCATAATAAAAGCACAATATGATATCAGACTTCTGTCGCGGCAATCGAATACAAAATTAGTTTTCATTATGATAGGAACTGCAAACTTTAATATCGATTTACTTTCATTTTGTTAACCAAATTTGCTCGGGCAATCATGCACATTTTTGTAAAAAATCAGCTATTTTGAATCCGGTTTTTTTTTTTTTTTTACAAAATAGCGTTTTTGACATTTTTCAATAAATTTTGATCGAAATGACATCAGAGATAAAGTTTTAGAGAAAAGTAAAGTCTTTTTGGGAAAAATATACACGGTAGTTCGTTTCTTTTTTGTTATTTTGAATAAAAGTTAAAAAAAAGTTATAAAACTCAAATATCTCAATAAGTATACCATCAATTTTTAAAGCTTTGTCTCAAACGTCTAAACGAGCTAATTGGATTTAATTTTCCTAAATATTCATCCTTTGATATTTTTCTCTGAATTCGTTTGAAGTTATTTCTAGAGATTCTTGGAAATTCCTATCATGTTCATTAATTAAATTTCATATGCATTTATACTTTTCCAACGCCCTTTATTTATTTTAAATTTGGTCTCTTGGAATTTATTCTACGATCGTTGAAAATTCATGTTCGTTCCAGATTCTTGGACATTTCTCCAGGTTTGATTTAATTGAGTCCGAGTTTTTTTTCTTTTGCCTTTTTACAACTGCGTCCATTATTTAGGATCACATATCCTCTCACAATTAAGGTGTGATAGACATTTGATGACATTGCACGCAGTCCCAATCAGGCACAACGCGTCTTATAAAGTCTAATACCATTTTGGGATTGCTTTGCCAAACTTCAAAGAGTTCTAATATCCCTTTTCAAAATATTGACATTCTTTGATTGAACAGTGCTCCACAGCTGCAGAGTATATGTTCAGCAGTTTCGTTTTCCAATTGACAAAACCGCCATTTACTAGACGGTTGGTTGGTTGGTTGTCTTTATTAAGGAGATTTTCAACAATTCACTAGACGGAATTTTTCCTATTTTATTTAAGTGATATCTGCTAGGGCAGTGACCAGTCATCAGACCAGTTATTACCCGAAGATCTCTTTTACTAAGATTAAGCAAAATCCGGGCTTTTGCTGCACTTGGTCTTATAAATCTTTTCGCCTGTCTGGATACATCTGTGGCGTTCCAGTTGGATTCTACTAAGGACGTTTCCCAACTTTTTAGTTCCAATCCTTATTTTTTTCCCTTTATTTTTGTGATTTATAGCCGTAGGCTAGTTCATCACATTCCAATCCTTATAGTACACTCAGGAACCCTACAAAATGGTACCGGACCGATGAAGTTCGATGCAGAAGCTCGTCTTGCTAGACTGTCGGCATTTTCATTTCCTTTAATGGGCTGGGCACCCAGTATCATATGACTTCGTTACTTACGGCCAATTGTTTTAAGGGAAGAATACATTCCCACACTAGCTTCGATCGACATGTGAGCGCATTAAGAGCAGCTTGGCCATCCGAGAATATATAGATCTTGGCAAACCTGTATTTTCTTGTTAGACAGGTGTTTGCACATTCTACGATTGCTTGAATTTCTGCTTGAAATACTGTGGGACTATGTCTTATTGGTATAATTTTACTGACTCCAGAGCCAAAGACCCCAGCTCCAGTATCTTCACCCATCTTCGAGCCGTTGGTGTAAAATACAATAGATCCTGGATGTATGTTTGGCCCACCAGACTCCCATGTATGGCGTTTGGTTTAACCACTTTGAAGGGAACATCGTAGTTTGGCTTTGTTACCAGTCCGAGGATTCAAAAAACAATTTAACTTTAAAATCTGTACAAATTATCCATGTAGAACAGCCTTAAAAACGCAATTCAAGCCTAACAATTCATGTTGTTACTGACGATAAACTCACTCCAGAATTATTGTGTTTAAGAGTAAGAGTAAAAAATGAGCAAGATAAAGTTTATTATATATTTAGCCATTCCATAGCAAAACGATATAGTGGTTCTCATAATTTCGTAAAAATTGGTAGTTTTGTTCCTCAGCGCAAAATATTAGACTTGTATTTTTATTTTGTCATTTCCATTTTAAGGCGGTCCAAAAAATCAATCTTTTACATAAATGATTTTTTTTTTAAATTCATATCTTTTGAACCACTGAGATTTCAAAAAATCAAATTAGGGGAAATGGATGTAATATCGGCCTAAATGCCCCTAATTTGGGCCCATACATTAATTCAGGAATCGACTAAATTTTCAAAGGCGACCAAAAATATCCATGAATACCGTCCAATGACGATTTCATCTACATAAAATTTATAAATAGCAGATTTTTATCGATGGGCCCAATCTTAGATCCATATGCCAACATTAGAGCCCCTATGAAATGAAAGGTAATTAAAACACTTTTTTTAGAAAAGCATAGAGATATTAAATAATTGGGATTTTGTATTGAAAAACATTGATTATGAAATATTTCAAAATTTCTGCGAAGGTTAGTGTACTTCAATATATTCTATTATTAAGATTTGCTTGATAAAGGTATTTGGAAATTCCGTGAGAATTCCAGGATTTTTCTACGTAAATAAAATTTTCTAAAGATTCCAAGTTTTCCATGATTTTCAGGTAGTAGACATCATGGTTTCCCTTGGTAATTCTCTTCTGAATGAGATAATGCCTTGATTTTCTTGGATATTCTCTTTATATTCATTCATTAAAGCTGTGAAACTTTGTTTTTTCCTTGATTTGTTTTCCGTCGATCTTTTTTCCATGCTGAGCACCAATGCTACCGACGCCAAGTAGGCAGCTCCTACACCTGGACCCTACCGATCGACCCATCAACTCATGAACCGGGGACCAACGGATTTACTTCGGATTTACCACGGATTTAGGCGTGATCAGAGATGATATGCCTCAGAACATCCCGGCGGCGCCGACCGGGATTGAACCCAGGCCTGCTGAGAGGAACTGTGAAACTTGTACAAGTCCCTTAGTTTAAAAAATGGAGATCTATTAGAATATTTACAGGGTGAGTAGTCATTCATGTCGGCTTGCAAGTTCGTTTTGAATTTTCATTCGTTTGAGACTCGTGGTAATCATGAACGCAAAAAGGGAACTCGTGATAAGCTGCTCCAGCGGCACGGTGATTGTGAAATTCTGTTTTCGGACGAGAAAATATTCCTGCTACATGATCACCTCAATCAGCAAAATGCTCGTGTATAAGCAGCATATCTAACATGTTCTTGATTCGTAATATACTTTTATAACTGATAAAATGTCCTTCAATTGAAAAATGGCGTAACGCCATAATGTCCTTAAAACGCTACAACTGCCTGAAGTCCCTCAAATTACCTTGCAAACGCCAAAATGACCAGAATCGTCAACATGACTTTGAAATCGCCAAAATGCCTGAAAAATTATAAAAAGGGGAAAATTACCTTAAATGCCAAACCGGTCTCAAAACCTGACAATAATCTTTGTAAAACTAAAATGGCTTTAAAAGCACTTAAAAATGCCAAAACATTTTTTTAAACGCCAAAAAAGGCCATACAACCGTAAAATAGCAAAAACGGAAGACGTTTTTGATGAACGTCATATGATGGTGGCCGGCTGTGCCTTGAAAAGTATGGATTTCTTCTTCTTCCAAGCGAGCTTTCGCCTGCTCTCAACCGATGCATGAATGTGTCTATTGTGCGACTAGCACAATGTTGCTCTAAGCCCAGGGATGTCGAAAAAAAATCCAACCCCTGATTGGCGGATTTGATCCCTTCGGAATTAGTTCGCATCGAACCCGGTTGAATTGCGGTTGTCCTACAGAAGTCTTGTTTGCATTTGCAGAATAGGATAAAAAAAAATCCGACATATTGAGATAAACCCAAAGCTGGTACTTACCGTGGTAGTGGTGTGTGGTGTGTAGGTCGCATACGCCGGTTGCGCCGCCAGCGGGGCCGAGTACCGGTAGGTCGCCTGCTGTGTCGGTGCGTAGCCGTAGCCTGCGGTTCCTCTGTAGGGGCCACCGGGGATTCCGCCGGCTGGACTAGTCATAGCGGGTCGCTGGGAACCCTTTAGTGTGGCCTGCGAGGGCGGTGGTGCTCCAGGGTAGGCGCTCCGAGGCGCTGCTGTCGTGCTGCCCTGTTATAAGGTGAGAGAGAGAAAATACAGAGAGAAATGGTTAGAAACTCAACTCACAACCAACACATTCTCGCACAATTGGAAAATAGATTAACCCAAATATGTTAGGCAGGCAGGCAGAACCGTTTTTTCTCGAATGATTTTTAGTTTTTGTTTTATTTAGTTTGGTTTATTGCGCAACTTTTGTCCACTGGTGCGGAACGACAGCCAAGTTATTTGATTTTAATTTTAATTGTTTTTCACTCCGCTTTTGCCGGCGGTCGCTGGTGGGGTTCTAACCAGTAGACTGTCCAGCCAACAAACTACAATAATGGTGCATCGAATGGTGTGAAGTGCAAATAAATCTTGTTTTTTTTTTCATTCGTGCGCCTGATGAATGCAGCGGTACCACCTAATTCCTAACGTTTTAAAATTGATTTGGACCAATATTGTTGATTTGGGAACCAGTTTTCGGAATCCAATCAATTTCACAAAATTTTAAGCTCCAAGTAATCCTTGACTTCTTCAACCCAAAGCTGTAATTAGCTGCAAGCATTTCCTGGGGTCACACACACACATACACTCGAAGTACGTAAATCATCGTCACATTTACGAGCCGTAGCCATTGGTGGTGGCTTCTGGACAACAACAAAAAGTCTGCCAAATTCACAATGACCGCATCGCCCTCACACCACAGCTTCAAATAATAATTTTTGTTTTACGGATAACACAGGAAACGAATTTCCGCCATTGTGTCAAGTGTGCTACAACAATTGTTGGCTGGGGTAGGTAGCACCAAATTTATGGCCCTCTCACGCTGCTGCAACTCACGGAGGTTGGTTTTGGATTCACCACCGAGTGTGCCACCAGAAACATTTCATGAGGATTTTGACTTTTTTTTTTTTTCGTCGTTGGTTGGATGCAGTGAAGGAAATATGGAAGGTGGTGGTGGAAAGGGGAGATGCAATGTCCGACTCCCGTTTTCCAGCTTCACAAGTGGTGGTTAGCGGATGAGTGCGCTTTTGCGCAATTCCACTTTTATGAGTGTTTTGGAAGTACGAGAATGGTTTCAATAATGGTTTGGGAAATTAGTGGGTTTTTGGCCGGGAGAATGGTCCCGTGGAACTTGCGAGCTAGCCTGTGGGAGCTTTATGGAACCGAAGAGAACAGAGATCGATTATGGCGATTTGTGAAACCGGAAGAGTGCTTGTGATGGAGCACGGATGAAGGCGCGATTAAATCAAAAATTGCATTCTTCAAGAAAGGCGATTTAATTCGATGATTTCTAAGAATTCATAGGATTTTGGAAATGTCATGCGATTTGAAGTCGTTTGACAAGCCTCTACTAGTGTTCCATGCTGCTTCTCTGAGACAATATATTGAGTATAGCTGATAAAGATTGAAACAAATAACAGGTTCAAGAAGGCATGCTTGGCATACACAGTTTTTGTCACGAACTGCTCATTTGCTAATAACTTTGCACACAAATGACAAAACATAGTTCTGTTTGAAGCAGTCGATAGAATAGAGTTTAAGCTTTTTATAGATACGTAAAGAAAAGTAGATTTTAGTTCAAGTAATACACTGTATTTGTTTTTGCGTTGTAAAAATGAAGTGAGAAATGCTCGCTGCACATCTAGGACTTAAAGTATAAAAATTTATTGGTGTTGATTCAAATGTTAAGATTTACCTACTTTTTGCATATCTATAGTAAACTATTATCCTAATCTATCAATTACTTTAAAGAAAAACAAATTTCAACAACTGAGTGAAAAGTTATTAACAAATGAGTAGTTGGTGTGTACAACTGTGCATGCCAAGCATGCAAGAAGGTGAATTTGATAAAAAATATTCATATAGGGGAATTTACGTATTCTCGTCAATCTGAGCAGAGTCCGACCTTCTATTAGCTATTTTTCAGCGTCACACACATATTTGACGGGTTTGTTTATTGACATTTATCTGCTGCTTGCTGTTCTATCAATTGAACACGTTTTTACAACGCTCCAAACTTCTCAGGTGAGTGTGACTATTGTCGGCAGTCTCTTTTTCTTCTGCACCATTTCCATTTGAAGTGCGTGTTAACCAGCTGTTCTACTATCGGCAACTCGAAATCAGCCGTATTTTGTGGAGTGTATATTTCATTTAAAGAAAAATCTGGCATAACAGGATTGCTAAGTCGTAAAAATGTAATCAAATTGAAGTTGAAAGGGTAAGAAATCTGTTGAATACATTCAGCGAAGAGTTTTGATGGGAAAATACAGTGAAATTAACGTTTCAATTTCGGTTGCCGAAAACAGTCAATGGGTGCCGAAACCATAATTTACCCTGCTCAAATATTATTAAATGGGTGAAGGCCATTAGGTCAAATACCAATAAAGCCGATTAAACGGGTCATTAGGCCAAATCTACAAAAGTGAAAAATTTAACTTAAAGAATTAGTTGGAACCATTTTCAGAACCAAGCCCAAGCAACATTGCAAGTTTTATCAAGGTTTTATAGCATTCTACAAGTCTAAATCATGGTCTACAGAACCTTCATAAAACCAGAAATGTTATTTGGGTGGTGAACAGCAAATCTAGATTAGCAATTTCCCGGAATTTTGTAGATTTTCCCGATTGTACTTTATACATTTAAATAAATCATAAAACCGAATGTGATTGAAGTTTAATGCGCCATTACTAAAAAACAATATCAAAATTTATCTATATTTTAACTAACATGAAAATTCGTTTTGCAGGATTTTTTTCGAATGTTCTCAATAATATCCTTTAGAATCATTTCCCTTCACAGAGTTCGTTTCAGAATTCATCTATAATAAATTTGAAAGCTCGAGCTTCTCACAGGGAGTCACTTGATTTTATCTATAACAATCCAGAAATTCTCTGCAGAACACTCCAAAAATTCATGGAATTCATCAGCTTCTGTTCGAATTTCCAGTGATTCGTCTAAAAATTTACTGAAGCCTCCTGACTACTTTTAAAATTCGATTTATTTCTCCCATGATTCACCTGAAAATTGTCTTGTTGGATCGCACCATCGGTACCGGGCTCTGCCAAGTTTATTGTAGAAGACGACTCAAGTTATTTCCAATTACCTTCGAGAAGTAATGAATTTTGCAAGACGGTCTCCATTGAGCAGCGCATACACGAAAGCAAAAGGGATGGCAAAACCCCCACGATCATCATCGATCTAATGTACTACGATCCTTACCCTACCTTACCAATCAGGCTAAGGCCTTGTTGTCCTCTGCTGTCCGAAGAAGTCGTCTCCACTCTACTCGATCCATGGCCACACTACGCCAGCCTCGTAGTCTGCGAAGGGTCCGCAGGTCGCCTTCTACTTGGTCGATCACCCTTGCCCGCAGCACGCCTCTTCTTCTTGTTCCTGTTGGGTCGCTTTCTAGAACCATTTTCACTGGGTCGTCGTGCGGCATTCTTACGACGTGCCCAGCACACCGTAGTCGCCCAATTTTTGCAATGTGGACGATGGATGGCAGCAGCTGGTGCAATTCGTGGTTCATTCGCCTCCTCCACGTTCCGTCATCCATCTGCAGTCCACCGTAGATGGTACGCAACACCTTCCGTTTGAAAACACCGTTGGTCCTCCACGAGCATAGTCCAAGTCTCGTGGCCGTAGAAGACCACCGGTCTAATCAGCGTCTTGTAGACAGTCAACTTCGTGCGGCGGAGAATTTTATTCGACCGGAGCGTCCTCTGGAGTCCAAAGTAGACACGATTCCCTGCCATAATGTGTCTTTGAATTTCTCTACTGGTATCATTTTCAACGGTCACCAGTGAGCCCAAATACACGAACTCATCGACCACCTCGATTTCGTCACCGTCAATCTGAACTCGGGGTGGGAGGCTAACATTGTCTTCCCTAGTACCTCTTCCTTTCATGTATTTTGTCTTTGATGCGTTGATGGCAAGTCCAATCCGCCTAGCTTAGCCTTCAGTCTGATGTACGTTTCCGCCGTCGTCTCAAAGTTCCGTGCCATGATGTCAATGTCATCGGCGAAGACAAGAATCTGGATGGACTTCCTGAAGTTCATGCCACTCGTGTCTATCCCAGCTCTTCTGATCACACCTTCTAACGCGATGTTGAATAGCAGGCACGAAAGTCCCTCACCTTGCAGTAACTCCCTTCGAGATTCAAAGGGACTCGAGAGTGTCCCCGATACTCGAACAACGCACATCACTCGATCCATCGTCGCCTTGACCAATCGTGTCAGTTTACCCGGAAATCCGTACTGGTGCATAATCTGTCATAGCTGATCTCAATCGATTGTGCCGTATGTGGATTTCAAATCGATGAACAAATGATGTGTGGACACGTTGTATTCGCGGCATTTCTGCAGAACCTGCCAAATCGCGAAAACTTGGTCCATGGTAGCGCGGGCACCCATGAATCCCGCCTGGTATTGCCCCACGAACTCTCTTGCAAATTGAGAGTACCTTGTAGGCGGCGCTCAGCAGTGTGATCGCGCGGTAGTTGCAGCAATCCAACTTGTCGCCCTTTTTGTAGATTGGGCATACGACACCTTCCATCCACTCCTGCGGTAATATCTCCTCCTCCCAAATCTTGGAAATTACCCAGTGCAGCGCTCTAGCCAGTGCTTCAACACCGTATTTTAATAGCTCACTACGATCCAACAGTCTTTGAATTCTGCTCAGAATTATCTCTTATATCCTCGGAATGGTCATAGCATTCTTCTGGGATTGTCTTTCCAAAACTGGACACCCTTGGTATTTTTCGCGGAACTCCCTGGAACTCTCTTTAGAAATCACTTCAAATTACACAGGACAAAAGGACTTTCTGTGACAGTTTGAACTTTTTTAAGGGTCTACTGAGTCATAGTCTAGAATATAATTTTGCGCTCAACATCATGATTTTAAAATCCCGCTTACTTTATGGAGGTTGTACTGCCCTAAAAGCGTGCATGAGATCAGTGAGCTTGTCCACGAAGGTGCTGCGCATTCTAAAAGACACTGCATAAGCATAAGAATGTCACGGAAATG